CAGCTGATCCTCCTGGAACAGGGACCTCTGGCTGACTAGATTTACCAGAAGGGCAGATAGGGGGGAATGGATGGGGGTGCTGACAGCACAGTGGACAGTGGCAGGGATGACAGAGTATGGAGGCTCTCGTGGGAGAGGAAGGCTGTCTATCTGACAAGTTTGTATTCATGCTCAGATGCCGAGGAGATCAGAAGGGGGGCGACTGTGACCAGTGATAGTCATATATATAGAGATTAGAAATGCATGTGAAAACGTCTCAATGTCAATGGCCCTGGAATGAATTTTTCTGCGTGAAATTGTGTGTTTTGACAACGAAGTGGAGATCTTTTTTAAACGTTGGAACCTCATTTAATTTTATGTCTTATAGAGTTTATAATGAGTAAAAGATTATATAAGCATAATAATTCATCTATAAACCTAGAAATGTACAGCCAATTTTGAAAGAGATGTACCCTAGCTCAGAAAAATGTTATTGAATAGGTTAATGCTGTTGTAATGAAATGCTTCTTTTAATTTAAAAAAAAAAAAAAAGATGCTTGGGTGTATAATCTTCAAAGTTGTCCTGGGTCTTGGATCATTATGCATGATCTGGTGAGAGGAAGATGCAGCCCTCTCCTTACACACTGTATCCTCAACCAGACATGCAGCTTTACAGAGGCCTGGGTCACCTCACACCTTATACTGTGGATTCTTAAAGTTCACTGAGATCTCTGAGAACCATTTCAGCTGTTCCCATCCTCTGTCCTCAGAAGCAGTGACACGGTCCTCCATCGAAGCCACCAACACCACAGTTATAGAAAGGGCTCTGTGGTCTTCACCTGCCTCTCTGGTGACCCTGGAATCTGCATCCATTGGATCATCAATAATCGGAGCCTATAGTGCACAGAGAGGATGACCCTATCACAGAACAACAGCAGGCTCAGCATAGACCCTGTCAAGGTAGAAGATGCTGGGGACTGTCAGTGCGAGGTCTGTAACCCAGTTAGTTCTAAGAAGAGTCACACAGTCCACCTGGCAGTGAATAGTAAGTGACCTATCCTGTCTTCCTATACCATAGAGATGATTTTCTTTATCAATGGCGTATAAAATAGATAAAAATTACGAGTAAAATACCAATTTAGACATAAATAAAACCAACATGGTGATGACTGCACATAACCCCAGGATAAAATATGGGCAAGGGGTGAATGTATGAGGCCAGCCTGTGTCACATAATGAGAACCTGTCTCCAAAAAATGGCATTCATGCAATGAACAGAAATGCAAAGTGTCTAAGAGTTTATGCTCCAAATCAACCCTAAAAATCCGTGATGACTGATTCCAAGGTCCCCACAGAGAACCAAGTCTATGGATGCTCTTGATTTCCTTATTAAAGATGTCAAAGTAATTAGTTGCCAGGCTCCAGTGGGTGGTCTCACATGAGGGACACTTGGGGACAGACACAAGCTTTAATTGATAGGCCTTAACATATACAAAAGAGTGCATGAAATTAGGCAGGAGGCCTATGGGAGGGTAAAAATGGAGGAAAGAGTCTAAATATGATCACAGTGCATTGTGTGAAATTCACAAATGTTCAATAAAAATTAAATAATAAAGATTGCAGAGTATTCACATATAACTGCACACCCTCCCAGACACTTAAGTCATCTCTAGATTACTTTTAATACCTAATATAAATACTGCCTAGATTCTAGTTTTTTCACATGCAATAAGGAAGAATACAGGATATAAAACTGTCCATTCCTTCTGTGCACATAATTTTTATCTGAAGAGTTTTGATCCATAGATGGAAAATCTGTGGATATATCAAGCCAACTGTATTGAGTTTCTTATCCTAAGGCCACCATTTACAGCATGACCTTGTAGAAGATTTTTTTCTGTTAACATTTTTTATGTATGATAAAATGAAACAAGAGATTTGCCATTTTGTCCATTTTGAATGGACAGATCAGTGGCATCAAGCACATTCATATTGTTGTGTAACCTTCACAACTATCCATTTCCAAAACTTTCTCTCACCCTGTTCAACATCCTAGAGCTCTTTGTAACCAGCTTTCTACTTCTGTCTCTGATGCATGTGGCAGTTCTAGGCCTCATGATAACTTGGAAACACAACATCCTTGTGCTTTTCCTCAAGTTTACGTCACTTTGCACAATATCATGAAAGGTTCATCCTTGTGCCATACATCAAAAATTAATTTACCTTTTAAGGCTGTTCTCGTCTGTGGCATTCTTCTGCATGACTGCACCACTGTGGGCATAGGTCTTCTTTTGTTCATTCATTCATCCCTTCAATGGGCTTTGGGTTGTTTCTAAATTTAGGCCATTTTGAGCAATGTTGTCATGAAGTGTAATCAAATATCTGTTCATATCTACAGTTTCCATTTTTCTGGATATCAGCCCTGATGAAGAAACATTGGGCTGAATGTAATTCCTTGATTTTTTGAGAAACAACAATGCTATGTTTCACAGTTACATTTTACATTTAATTACGCACAGGAATTCCTATTTTTTCCATCTTCAAAAACACTTGCTTACTATCTTTATTTTTCTTTTTAATGATATCTATCTCAACAAATGTGAGAAGGTAACTCACTGTGATTTTGATTTCTGTTTCCTTAATGAATGATATGTGATATTTGAACACCTTTCCATACACCTATTGGTCATATATATGTTCTGAAACTTAATAGAACAATACTTTTAGAAAAGAATTGTGTCTTTCAAAGTAGCTAGCAGAAATGAATATTGTCAACATGATAGATGAGGCAACAGACACACCAACTGCTCTGATCTGAGTAACCATTACATACATATGTACTAAAATTTTATACTGCATGGCACAAACACATCTCTTTATTATGTATTGACTAATTTTTAATTTAATTATTTGACAGTACACATGAACAAATCTGTGGTTCCCATTCTATTCCATTGATCTACAGACTTTATCTCATAACACACAGTTCTGACTGTAGCATCTTTCTAGAAATTATAAAATCAGGAAGTATGTATTCCAATTTTATTCATTTTCAAGATTCTGTTAGCCACTTGGCGTTCCTTGAGATTCCACAAGAGTCCTAGAATAGATTTTTCTTTCTGTACAAAATGCCACTGCCATTTTGATTGGATATGCACCTCATCTATAGATCACTTTCCAGTAACACAGTCATCGGTCATCTTTAAAAACTTAAGTCTTGGGGCCCGGAGAGATAGCTCAATTGTTAAGAGCACTGGCTGTTCTTACAGAGGACCCAGGTTCAATTCCCAGGCACCCACATAGCAGCTGACAGCTGTCCATAACTCTAGTTTCAGGTGATGTAACACCATCTTCTGACCTCTTAGGGCACTGCAGGACATGGGTACACTCAACACACATGCAGGCAATATACTCATATACGTAAAATAAATAAAATTAATTAAATTTTAAAATAAACACTTAAGTCTTCTTTCAGGCAAGATGGCACATTCCTGTAATTCCAGTTACTTAGGAGGCTAAGGCAGGAGAATCACAAGTTCTAAGAGTGCCTGGTCTACATAGCAAATTCGATACCAGCCTGAATAACTCAGTGACTCCCTGTGGCAAAATAAAAAATAAAAAGCTGAGGGACTGGGACATATCAGTGGTAGAGCACTCACTTAGCATGTGCAAGGCCTGAGTTGCATCTCTCGTCCTGTAGACAATAATAATAATGAGGTTAAGTCCTCTAATCCATGGACAGCAGAAGCCTTTCCATTTTTTTTTTTCTTCATTCAGCAATTTTGGGGAGATTTCTAGGTATGATTCTTTGACTTCCTGGATGAAGTTAATTCTAAGTACTCTTTTACTTTATATTAATTTAACTTTATTTATTTTGTTCTTGCTTTATTTTATTCTCTCATAAATAAAATATTTTCTTAGTATCTTTAGAATTTTTCATGATTAAGTCTGATGTTCTGTGTCAATGGCTAAAATCTTAAGTAACATGCATGAAGCCCTAAGTTGAGTCCCCAGTACCCACAGGGGAAAAAAAAAAGGAAATTTAATTGTTTATTTTTTGAGAGTTTACAGAAATACATGGATGGGGGCACGTTCATGCTGATATCACTCAATTTTGCTGATTGTGCTCATTAGTTCCGGGAAGAGGAAAATGACTTAAATGTAGTATTTCAGACCAGGTCAATTTTAGTTTTCGTTCCCTGAGATACAGTCTTAATATTATCATGTAAAGAAGGTGTTAATTGGGGAAGATGTGTGTGAAGGAAATTAAGACAGGATCTGGCAGAGCACTCAGGTCACATGTGGTTCTGCTCCCAGTGGGGGTAGACAAGGATTCATGTCCTAGTTAGATTGCATCAGTTCTTGGAGTGTTTCTGCAAAGTTGAGGATGAGTACTGTAGTCTGAGTGACCATCAGATGAAAATTGTTTCTTAAAGAAATTGCTTGTTTTCCTACCCCACCGTGTTGGGGCCCATACACCGGATGCCATGGAAATTGTGAACTCTAACCCAAGGAGATGATGAATTGAGAGTTCACTAGCCTGTGCCTTCTGTCAATTACGTTCTGCCCACAAGAGACTGAGAGGCTTGTACAAATTCTTGGCTCTCACAGCTGCACTAAGAAAAAGATGCAAATGTGAGAACAGGGGAAGTTTTTACATAGGAAAGAGCCCCTACCCTTTCTGAAAATTCCAAACCTTCACATATGTGCCAAGAGGAAATTGATGGGATTCAAGGATGTGAAAGGAGAGATGATCAACTAGAAACATGACTGAAAAAGAATCTTGCTGATCCCCTCATACATCAACTCACCTAATCAACCTGCCTGTAGAAAACATATTCCCTGAAATAAAGATCACCTCATGCCCTGAGCTCTTCTCCAGGACACATCACTCACTGTAAAGTGCTTTCACCTTTATTCTTTTTTCTCTTTTCTTTCCATCACATCTAAAGCAACACAAGGAAGTTCTGGCCTCTCAACTGGGGACATTTCTGGCCTCCTGGTTGGAATTGTGTGGCGGGGTGGGGGCTCTGAGAGTAGCCCTGGCATATTACCTATAGTTCAAGGAGATTGGTGAGTATGATGATCTTTCCTCCTCTGTTTTCTTCTTTTCTAAGTGCTATGCTTGGGAAATAGCAAGGACTTCTTTCCTTTTGCTTCTTTGTTTTTTAGTTTATTATTTTTATTTTATGTGCGTGAGTATATTGCTTGTGTGTATGTTAGTGCATCCTTGTTGAGAAATGCCCACAGAGGTCAGAAAAAGGTGTCATATCCCATGTAACTGGAGTTACAGATGACTGATTGTTAGCCACCATGCAGGTGCTGACGATCACACATCAGGTACTCTGCAAGAACAGCCAGTGTTCTTAACCACTGACCCATCTTGCCATCATCTACTTCTCCTTCTGAGCCGGCTCTCCTCCTCCCCTTTCCTAATCCTCTGCTGCTCTGCACTAATTCCTGCTGTTCTACTCCATGTCTTTAAGATCCCTGTACTCCACTCTCTCGGAGTCCACTCCCTTCTAGTTTAGAGAAAAGAATCATATTTAATTTCTCCACTCCCTAATCAAAAAAGTAGTCTGGGAAGAAAAATGATGACCTAGAGAGAAGGTTCAGCAGTTAAGAGCACTGGATGCCATTTCAGAGGACCCACATTCAATTCCCAGCAACCACAGGGCAGCTAACAATGACTTGCAGCTCCAGTTCCAAGGGATCCAATGTTGTCTTCTGTCCTTTGCAGGCTTTACAGTACACAGGTGCATTTATAGGCATAGGGGCACAAGAATCATACATATAATATAAAAATACATTTAAAAACTTTGAAGAAGAAAAATAAGGGAGTCAAAGGAGGAGCAAGAGAAGGCACGTGCTGTGGCTTGCCACATGAAGGGCATGCTTATCCAACACTCCACCCCTTCCTCTGGCTCTTGCAATCTTTCCGTCAGCCTCTTCCACAAAAGTCCCTGAGCCTTGGAGGGGGTGACAAATGCAGGATGATCTCTCTTCTATTGTGGGGAGATATTGAACTCTTGGGCCTTCTCATCATTTGTTCC